ATTTAAGATTTCAAAGTTGCCCCCAACCCCCACTCCCAGGGGGTGGGGTGGGAGGTCGAGTTTGGTATCATTGGATGTCCCCCTTCGAGACTAACAACTTTCATTAACCACTTTTTTTATCCAATGCATAGTTCTCGAGATATTTCAATATCTTCAGATAAATCGTGCACCCTGTATATATATTGTTACGTCCCATGGAATTTTATTGGATTCAATAGAATTTATTTGATAACGTGGATATGACTATGAGGAAAGTGCCCCTGTACGGAGAACAATACACGGTTTGCGAAACACATCGAACGACATAGAGGAAGACAAATATTGTTTATTAACTTGGATATCGAAAGGCTTACTATGATCGGATGGCTGGAACGTCACTGTTTAGGCGTCCGACGGAACGGGAGAAGGAGCTCTCGTACGTGCCCGCGTTCCTCCCAGCTGAGATGACGGAACGTCGAATTCGCGATATTGCACTCCCGGCTTCTGAAAGTCTCGTCTGTCTTTTCTTGTACGAATTAATTAAGAAGATCGTGAAATTGGTTGAAGTCACGAATATACTTGGTTGCAACAATTGTAATGAGAAAAAAACCAGAAAGAAAAAAAAGGAGATATACGAGAATATGAGAGATCGTCACGAGATGATGGAACTTGAAAATTCTTTAAGTACAATAGTTAAGGAGAGACTTGTGAGCACGTGTCCGAAACGTGTGACGGCCTCAACGAGAGTGAAGAAGCGGGCGGTTCGCCGACGGGCCGAGGAGTCCTTCTTCTTTGTGTCGGAGCAAGACGCGAGTTACTCGATCTCCGGATGCAACAACGATAAGAACCCCACCAAAGTGTCGCCTAAACAGTTCGGTTATCTTAGAATGAAAACGTTTACAATTTTATAGTCAACCGCGGGTGGACAATAATGCGGCAATCGCGAATTTAGGTACAACGCTTTACAATGATAGGCCAAGGAAGCGTTCCTGGCGAATTCGGCGCAACAAGTTTAATAATTTTAACGGAGAGTAGCAAACGGGGGGGGTAGTACAATTTTATAATGATAGGTTTTTACTTCTTTACACTACATTTCTAACGCTTTGATCTAATAACCGGATAATATGTAAAGTTTAGCGAGATGTCGGATGAAAGAAACAAGGTGGAGAATTACGACGCGATATGTCTTGTCTTCCATCCTGAGAGCGAAGCTGGGCCGTGCTGCTGACGCAAAACAGTTATGAGATTCGTAGAATCACAATGCTTATACTGCAGAGTTATAAAGATAACGATTAGAAAAGTTGTTAACGGTTATAACACAACTTTCCCACACTTAGTGCTTATTTTTATTGTTAAGAAGCAAGAGATGGGGAAGCTGCATAGTCTGTCCGCTATGATAAAAATAATTTGGAATAATAGTAAGAAATAATAGCCAAGCCCTCGCGCAACCGGGCTGTTATTCTTGAGACTACGTAAGCAATGATAAAGCATACGCGCGCTGTAGAAAACGACGTGTCAAATTAACATAGAACAGAAGTGCCGAAAAGAAAGAAAACAGGAAAGAGTAACACAATTCATACGTTGAGTCTGGCACATAAAATGTGTCATCCAAAATCGATATATCAAATTAACACATGCCGGTGTCGGAAATTTAACACAAGGTTTTCCATATACAAAGGAATAGTAAAAGGCATTAAAGCTAACGCATTAACTTAAAATAAAATGCTAGTCACAATTATAGGTCGCCGTTACGAATGTCAACATAATATAATCCTAGTCCATATCGAACGAGGGAGGGGAGAACCGGAAGTTTAGATTGCAAGATGTACTGCTCGATAAGGATAAAAAAAGAAATAAGAAAAAGGGGAGAAAAATAGGAGCTGAGACGTAACAATATATATATACATATACATATATAGGACTTCCGTTTCCGGCGACGAAGGATTGTGTGCTGAGTGTGACAGGGCAGAGAGTGAGTAAGGATTTCGAAGGGAAACCGTGAGGGTGGTGGAGTGGAGAGAGGGGCGAGGGATGTGGTGGGGGAGTAGCAGAGACAGGGGAGAATAAGGGAAGGGGAGGGGAAGGTGGAGGAAAAGTGATAGAGGGCTAAGGAAATGAGTGGGTAGATAAGGTTAGGAAACAGAGAGAGAGTGTGGAAGACAGAGAGAGGTAAGCGAGTGAAGGAGGTGGCGTGGACTGGTGGCGGAAAGGGGAACAAAGAGAAGAAAGCGGAGAACTTGAAGAAAAGGAAGGTAGAGGCTGAGGAGGAAGGGAAGGGGGAGAGGATGGAGGAGGAACGAAGAGGGAGGGTGGAGAAAGGGGAGGAACAGAGGGGGAGGGTAGGATGGAAAAAAGGAGGGGAAGGCCGACAAATGCGGAAAGGTTGAGAAGGGACAGTGCAAGTAGCATGGGAAGTATAGGAAGCAGTATAGAGTTGATGCGGGAGGGGAAAAGGAAGACAAGAGAGGGAGAGAGGGGAGAGGAGGAAAGAGTAGTGAAAAATAATACAAAAGATACAGGAAGTTGGTAGGAGGAGGAGGCAGAGGGGGAGAAGGATAGAGAAAGAGGAAGGAGAAGAAAAGAGGGAAGGATGGATAAAAGAAGGGGAGGTGAAAGTAATGGTGTGGAAGTTAATGGAAGAAGTAAGAGGTTTTAAAGAGGAAGTGAAGAAGGAGGGAGAGAGGAGAGAAAGAGAGATTAGAGAATTAAGGGAGGAACTGAGAAAAGAGAGAGAATATAGGAGGAAAGAGTGGGAAGAATGGAGGAGGGAGAGGGGGGAGGGGGTGGAAATGATAAGGAAAATAGAGGAAAGGGTAAGGAGATTGGAGGAACGAGAGGGAGAAAGGGAAAAGGCAGAAGGAATAAGGGAGAAGGAGAGAGAAAAGATAAGGGAGTTGGAGATAAGGATAGATAAAAGGGAAAGGGAACAGAGAAGGAATGTAATGGTAAGGGGGGTGGAGATAGGGGAGAAAGGAGTGGAGGAGGCAGTGAAGGAGGTATGGCGGAAGTTGGAGCTAGAGGTAGAAATGAGAGAAGTGAAGAGGATAGGGAAGGAGGAGAAAAAAGGGGAAGGGATGGTACTAGTAAAATTAGGAAGTGTAGAAGAGAAGAGGAAAGTGATGGAGGCAAAGAAGAAACTGAAAGGAAGAAGGGAAAGGATAGAAGATGATTTAACAGCAGAAGAGAGGAAGACAAAATGGAGGATAGAAAGAGAGGCAGAAGTTGAGAGAAGGAAGGGCAAGAAGGTACAGGTAGGGTATATGAGGATGTGGATGAATGGGAAAATGCAGAGATGGGATGAAATACGGAAGAAGTGGTGGGAAAGGGTAGGAAACTAGGAGGGGGTGAGACGAGGGGAGAGGAAGGATGGAGGGGGGAGAGGGAGGAAGAGTGGGAAAAGTATATAAGTTGGCTTTCTGGAACGTGGCGGGGTTGGAAAATAAGGATGGGGATTTTTGGGAGGAATTAGGGGAATGGGATGTGATGATACTGTGTGAGACATGGATAGATAGGACGGGATGGGAAAAGATGAAAAGGAGGTTGCCGAAGGGGTACAGGTGGGAATTCCAGGAAGCAAGGAGAAAAAGCAGGAAGGGAAGAGCGATGGGCGGAATGGTGGTAGGAGTGAGGGAGGAGATAGAGATGAGGAGAGAGGAAGAGGAGGAGGTGGAAGGAATAATAGTTAGAAAGGTGAGGCTGGGAAGGGAATGGTGGAGAGTAGTGGGGGTATATATAAATGGAGATATAGAAGAAAAGATGGAGAGGATGAAGAGATGGATGGAAGAGGGAGAGGGGGAAGGAAAGACGGTAATAGGGGGAGATTAGAACGTGAGAATAGGGAGGGAGGGAGGGGAAGTAGTGGGAGGGGACGAAGAGGAGGGAGGAGAGGAAGGGAGTAGGAACTCAAAGGATAGAAAAGTATGTAAGAAGGGGAGAAGGTTATGCGAATTTTTAGGAGAGAGAGGATGGTGGATTCTAAATGGAAATGTAAGGCGGGATGAGGAAGGGGAATGGACATATGTAGGAGGAAGGGGGATGTCAGTGATAGATTATGTGATTGGGAACATAGAGACGGTGAAAGGGGTAGAAAGGATAAAAGTGGGAGAGAGAGTGGAATCGGACCATCAGCCGGTAGTGGTATGGATAGAGGGGAAAGAAGAGGTAGAAAAGGGAAGAGGGGGAGGAGAGGAGGAAAAAGTAGATGGACGAGGGAGGAGGTAGAAGGGTTTGGAGAAAAATTCAGGAGAAAAAGGGAAGGGAAGAGAGAGTGCAGGAGGAATGGAGGAATTTAGAGGGAAAGATAAAGGAGACGATGAGAGGACTGGGTAGAGGGAAAGAGAAGAAGAAAGGGGGATGGTGGAATGAAGAATGTAGGGAGGCGAAAAGGAGAGTGAGAAAGGAGTTAAGGGAATGGAGACGAAAGGAGGAAGAGGGAGAGAGATATAAGGAAGAGAGACTAAGGTACAAGAGGATATGTGAGGAGAAGAAGAGGGAACAAAGAGAGAAATGGGAAAAGGAGGTAGGGAAGATTAGGACAGAACAGCAGGTATGGAAGGTGATAAATAGGAAAAGAAAGAGGAAGAGGGGAGTGAATGAGGGGATAAAAATGGAAGAATGGGAGGATTATTTCAGGAGAATAATGGGAGGAGCGGAGGGAAGGATAAGGAGGGAAATAAATAGAGTAGGGGAGGAGGATGGGGAAGAAAGACTGGAGCAAGAGGAGATAGGGAGGGTGATAAAGAGATTAAAAGATGGGAAAGCGGAGGAGACGGAATTCTAAGTGAGGTGTGAAAGTACGGAGGGCAGGAAGTACGAAGGCAGTTTGATAAGTCAGTGACTTTTTGAATTTTCCGCGCAGTAACTTTAAATGCAGCACTGCTCCCGTCAACTGCCATCTATTAATAGACTACTGTACAAGTTTGGGCAAGCTGCGCCATTTAGTTAGTGTTTGACAGCCATTGAAAGCAGATAACCTCGTGAATTTTAACGAAAATGGAAAAAAGTGAATTTCGTGTGCTGATTAAGCATTATGTTTTGAGTAAAAAAACCATCACCGAAACCAAGGCAAAGCTTGATAAATACTATGGGGACTCTGCACCATCAATTTCAATGGTTAAGAAGTGGTTTACTGAGTTCCGTTGTGGTCGTACCAGCACAAGTGACGCCGAACGTTCAGGTCGCCCAAAAGAGGTCGTCACGCCAGAAATCGTCGATAAAATCCATGGAATGATATTGGACGATCGGAGAATGAAAGTGCGTGAAGTGGCTGAGGCTGTAGGCATCTCAACTGAGCGGGTACATCACATTTTACATGAATATTTGGACATGAAAAAGCTATCCGCGCGATGGGTGCCGCGATTGCTCACACTCGACCATAAGCGCAACCGTGTGACCATTTCAAAGGAGTGTTTGGCGATGTTCAGCCGCAATCCAAACGAGTTTTTGCGCCGTTTCGTTATCGTAGACGAAACATGAATCCATCACACCACACCAGAGACCAAGGAACAATCAAGACAGTGGGTTTCTTCAGGTGAACGTGCACCAAAGAAGGCCAAGGTGGGTCTGTCAGCCAACAAGGTCATGGCCACAGTTTTTTTGGGATGCACGCGGTATCATTCACATCGATTACCTTGAAAAGGGTAAAACGATTACCGGCGAATATTATTCAGAGCTTTTGGACAGATTCGATATTGATTTGAAGCAAAAACGACCGCATTTGGCGAAGAAAAAAGTGCTGTTCCATTAGGACAATGCACGGGTGCACACGTGTGTAGTCACCATGGCAAAAATCCATAAATTGGGCTACGAACTGCTACCCCATGCAGCATATTCACCAGATTTAGCCCCCTGCGACTATTTCCTGTTTTCAAACCTGAAGAAATGGCTGGGCGGTAAGAGATTTGGGTCGAATGAAGAGGTCATCACTGAAACAAACGCCTATTTTGAGGGCCTTGAGAAAACCTATTATTTGGAAGGAATAAAAAAATTGGAAAAACGGTGGACTAAATGTATCGAGCTAAAAGGAGACTACGTTGAGAAATAAAACGCTTATTTGCCGAAAAAAATATCTTTTATTAAAAAAGTCACTGACTTATCAAACTACCCTCGTACAAATATGGTTGGGGGAAATATGTGAAAGGGTGTGGAGGGGGAAGGGATGGCCGGAGGAATGGAGTGAGGGAATGGTAGTGCCGATAATGAAGAAAGGGGAGGGAAAAAGGGTGGAGGAATACAGAGGGGTGACGCTGACGCAAACAGCGTACAAAGTGTACACGGCGGTGCTAGCGGAGAGAATGAGAGAGGAGGTGGAAAGGAAAAGGATTTTGCCAGAGAGTCAGGTGGGATTCAGAAAGGGAAGGGGGACGATAGATAATGTGTATGCATTAAACTATCTAATAAACAGGCAGGTGGAAAGGAGAGATAAAAGAATGAACTGTTTATGGATCTTAGGGCGGCATTTGATGCAGTGGATAGGGGGATATTAGGAAGAGCAATGAGGGAAAGGGAAGTGAGAGAAGGGCTGATAAGGAGATGTGAGGAGGTGATAGGGGAGACAAGGAATAGAGTGAGAATAGGGGGGTGAGAGGGAGAGAGATTTTGGACAGGGAGAGAGGTGAGGCAAGGATGCCCGTTAAGTCCGATATTGTTTACATTATTAATTGCGGATATAGATGAGGAACTGAGGAAGGGAGGCTGGGGAGGGGTAAAGTTGGGGGAAGAGAGGGTATATACACATACATATATACACATTGGCATATGCGGATGATTTGGTGGTATTGGCAGAGGATGAGGAGTGGTGGATGAAGGGAATGGTGGGGAAACTGGAGGGATACTTAGAAAAGAAGGGACTGGAAATAAATATAAAGGGTTTTTCAATAAGGGCGGGTCGATGTTGCAATGGAATAAAACAAGTTGTATGTGAGGTATTAACGAAATTCTTTTTTTATTTGAAAGGCCCATGTATGCCATTATGTGTGGAATATAACATCGTTCAAATGTCCGCCGCAGCTTCTCACGGTGGCACGGATCCGAGTGGTCCAATTTTCAATGATTCTGCCACATAGATCCGGCTGAATTTGAGCGACGGTCTGGGTTATGTTGATTTTAAGGACATCGGTCGATTGCGGCTTATTGGCATAGACCTGCGACTTCAGAAAACCCCACAAGAAAAAGTCTAGCGGGGTCAAATCGCACGATCTTGGTGGCCAATCACGTCATCTCTGCGAGAGATAACCATACCCTCAAATCGTTCATGCAGAATGTCCATCGTGGCGTCTGCTGTGTGGCATGTAGCGCCGTCCTGCTGGAACCACATGTCGTCCACATCCATATCGTTCAATTTGGGCCAAAAGAAATTGGTTATCATCGTTCTGTAGCGCTCGCCATTGACGGTGATAGCCTCACCAACGTCGTTTTAGAAAAAGTATGGACCAATGATGCCGCCGGCCCAAAATCCGCACCAAACAGTAACTTTTTGTGGATGCATTGCTATCTGTTGAACCTCGTGTGGGTTGGCGTCGTGCCATATACAGCAATTATGCTTGTTAACATAGCCATTCATCAAAAAATGCGCCTCGTCGCTGAAGATGATTTTTCGGCCAAAATTGGGGTCCTCTTCCAAATGCTCCGAAGCCCAATCAGCGAACAAACGGCGCTGTCTATAGTCATTAACTTTGAACTCCTGGGCCAGTTGGATCTTGTACGGGTGCAGGCCCAAGTCCCGACGCAAAATTCGCCAAGTTGAAGTCTGCGAAAGGCCGAGTTCTTGTGCACGGCGAGGAATTGACTGCCTCGGGTTCTCCTGCACACTTTCACTTACAGCGGCGATGTTCTCGGCCGATCTGGCGTTCCTTTGACGTATGGGTGTTGGCTGATCGTTTACCGAACCGGTCGTCTTGAATTTGGCTACCAAACGTTGGAGAGTCGACTTTGAAGGGCCACTGCATCTGCCGTAAAATGGGCGCAACGCGCGCAACGTTTGCACTAACGAACACTCATTTTGATAATAAAGTTCTATCATTTGGACGTGCTGCTCAGTCGTGTAACTTGTCATGGTGATTTGGCATCAGTGATTGAATAATAAACAATAGGTTAGACAGACGCCGCCAAAACAACATGGCCGCCACAGGCTTCCAACATCGACCCGCACCAATTGTAAAAAATTCTGTAGAAAAAACGAAAATAATGAGGTGCAGGAAAAGTAGTGGAAAATGGAAGAAAGTGGATTGGAGATGGAAAGGGAAGAGGATAGAGGAAGGGGATATAAATATTTAGGATACATAATGAGAAGGAACGGGGGCAAGAGGAGCAGACCAAGGATAGGGTAAAGAAAGGAGCGAAGGTGATGAAACAAGTATGGGGGATAGGAAAGAGGAGGTTTGGAAAGGACTGGGGTAGGAGGGTATGGCTGTTCGACAAATTGGTGTGGTCGGTGATAAGCTACGGGGTAGAGATATGGGGATGGAAAGAGAGGAGAGGGATAGAGGAGCTACAGGAAAGATATTTAAGATGGATATTGGGGGTAGAGAGGTGGACCCCAGGGTATATAATAAGAGAGGGAATTAATGAGAAGCAGAGCAGGAATTAGAGCATGGGGATATGAGAAGAGACTGGAGGAAGGGAAAGGAGGAGAGATAGCAAGAAGGTGCTGGATGGAGATGAGGAATAGGGCAAGGAGAGGAAAAGAAGTGGGGAAATGGGAAGAGGAGAGGAGAAGGTTCTTTGAGGATAGGGGGTGGAAAATAGACGAGATAGAGGAAAGGAGGGAAAAGGGAGAGGAGATAAGGGGGGAGGAAATAAAGAATAGAGAAAGGAGAAAGCAGGAAGAGGAGAGATGGGAAAGGATAAGAGAATCAAGACACAGTGAGGGATGCGGAAGGATGAAAGGGAGGGGAGTACCAGGATATCTGAAAATGGGGTGAGGAGAGAAAAGATAGAGGAGGATAGCGAGATTTAGGCTAGGATGTGAGTTAAGAGGAGGAAGGTATTGGGAGGAGGAGGAAAAGAGGAGATGCAGGATGTGTGGGAGAAGGGAAGAAACATGGAAGCATATATGGCAGGAGTGCGCAGGATGGGGGGAAGAAAGAGGATGGCAGGAGATGGAGAGGGAGGTACTGGGAGAGGAGGGAAAAGAGGAGAGGTGGATGAAGGAAGTGGAAAAATGGTGGGGAGGAGAGGAGGAGGAGGAAGGGGGAGGGAGACGGAGAGAGGGAGGGAGATAGAAAGAGCACCGGAAACGGAGATCATGGAATGAGAGGAAAAGAGTGGAAAGTGAGAGAGGGGGAGAGAATGGAGAAGAATGATGTGTGTGTGTGTGTGTGTGTGTGTGTGTGTGTGTGTGAAGCGAGCTCTCTCACTCGAGCGCTCAGAATATAAGAGAAAAGAAAGATAGAGGATATGTAAAGGTTAGGTTAAGAATTGTAACCCCAAGGGGAGGCAATAAAGAATATACATATATATATACACTCAAATGCAAAAAACCCGGTACACTAAAAATTTGGGAAAAAATTACAAAATTTCAAATGATCATAACTTGGTAAATAATGAAGATACAAATATGCGCAGAAATGCAAAATGAAGCTTGAAACGTCCTCTTTAAGAATATCTGAATGGCAATTATGCTCGGCCATTTTTTTCGAAATGGCGAATGATAAAGTGAGAGGATGCAAAATTGATAATCAAAGGTCCGTGTTTGCGATGGTGCATGGTGTGCATCAGGTATCGCAGCGTAATGGGACCAAATGCACATGAAAGTATAGAGTGTTATCTTTAAAATGCTACTTTACCGAGCTCGATGTGATCATTTTTCACTGAGTTGTTCCAAATTTTGCTAAAAATGCGGTTTTCTTGTTAAATTTGCATAATTCAGTGAATAAGTATCGTATCAATCTCTATAACGAAGTATTTTAAAGAAAACATTCTATACTTTTAAGTACTTTTCGTCCCATTGAGCTGCGACACTTACTTTGCTCCATGCACCGTCGCACGCTCGAACCTTTTTTTAGCAACTTTTCATGCTCTCCTTTTTATCACCCGCCATTTTGAAAAAATATCGTTGCGCACAATTTCGATAGATCTTTCAAAAAGTATGGTTTCAAAGCTTTCAAACCGTTTTTGAAATTTGCTGCTAGGATATTTAGGTGTCGAGATATTCAATTTCGAATTTGCAACAAATGTCGATTCAGCCAGGCTTAAGGAGCTAAGAGGCTCTTCGGTTCGTTTGGCTCTTTCATAATGTCAATAGCCGCGTTCATTATTCTCTATACAATAATTTACACAATTTTGCGAATTGGAAATTTAATTTTTATCAAAAGTTATCATTCTTTACCCTTCAGTTACGCATGATCACTGTGGTATACACTTTAGTTCGCGAAGCTGTCCCTAGCTCTCTACCTTCTTCGTACGATTGGCTATTATGGTACACAGCTTGAATATGCTGTTCAGGATCGCGCCTGAGTTCGCGGTGACCCGGCGCGCGGGATGCC